GAGCAGCCGCCCCAGCAGCAGCAGCCCCGGGAGCAGCCGCCCCAGCAGCAGCAGCCCCTGGAGCCGCTCCAGCAGCAGCAACCCCGGGAGCAGCCGCCCCAGCAGCAGCAGCCCCGGGAGAAGCCGCCCCAGCAGCAGCCACTGGAGCAGCCGCCCCAGCAGCAGCTGCCTCTGAAGCGGCCACCCCAGCAGCAGCAGCCCCTGGAGCCGCTGCTACTGCAGCAGCCACCCCACCAGCAGCAGCACGTGGAGCAGCAGCAGCAGCAGCCGCCCCAGCAGCAGCCCCAGCAGCGGCAGCCACTGGAGCAGCCGCACCAGCAGCAGCCGCCCCTGGCCCCTGCAGCAGCCGCTCATGGACCAGGTGCAGCCGTGGGGGGTGAGTGTTGAGGTGCTAGTTGTGGGGGTGTCGGTTGTGCGTGCCGTCCCCTCCTCCTCCTCCTCCTTCGTCTCCCACTGCTACAGCTCTCGCTGAGGGGGGGTGGATGTGTGGGAGACTGGGGTTTAGGGTTTAAGGGGGGGTGGGTGGGAGTGGAGCTAGCGGTATAGCAGCGGGTGTGTGTCGGGGGGTGGGACTGTGTGCGGGAGGATGAGCGGAGGTTGCCAGTCTGTTGTCCGCAGCACCTGTAGTCCGGGCGCTTAGTCCGGTAGCCCAGTGAGTTTGTTGCTGCGCTAGTCGCCCGAGGGTCCGTTGCCCGTCTGCCGCTACTTGAGCCGCGGGGCCTGTTACTCCTGTAGTCCGGGCGCTTAGTCCGGTAGCCACTGTGCTCGCCACTCCTGTTGCCCGTGTGTCTGCAGCTTCAGCCGCCGCCTTCTATCTCCTCTCCTCTCACTCTCCCTCCTCCTCCTCACTTGCCCGTTGTGACTACCACTAGCTTTGCTGATAATTGTGCACTTTAACTATTGCTTCTTGAACTTGTGCTCAGAATGTGTGGTGACATTGTGATCCACCCCGAGCTTGTACTGCTCTGCCTGCTCTGCTGATTACACCCCCTTTTTGCTATGGGGGTGTGTCAGAATATATTTGCTGTCTAGGCTGCAGTGGGGTACTCTGTAATGAGTACAACCCAATTTAGGGCATTGCACTTGTATCCCAACCCTTCCTAGTGAAACCACTTCTCTTGCAATTTTCTCGACTTACCTAAACCCTCTCGAGCTCGATCACCTAGGCACCTAAACTATGGCTTCTAAGCCTACCTTTGCTTAAGATTCTAAGACCATGCAGCGGAGCTGGTGGCGCGCAGGATGCGTGCCGGCGAGCTGGCCGCCCCTGATGGCGTACCTGGGTGACACGTGCGCAACCGGCATGCTCGAGCCTATTCTTTCGGTATGCGTCGATTTGCAGTTGCTCATCGAGAAGTTCAAGGTAAGGCCTGCGTGCTACATGACGGCCTCGGATTTTATCAACTGCGACGCGGGAATACGCGTGGAACAGGGGTTCAGAGCCACACCTGATGCCAGCGCGTCCGATGACTCGTCGGGCGACATGAGCCTGCCAGACGGCCCATTGCTGCGGGACGAGCGCAGCAGGAGGCGCGTGATACGCAACGTCACAAACGCGTACGTGGAGCGTGCCGATGAGCTCGGCATCCCCCCGGCGGCTGTGCCAGCAGAGGTCGGAGCATCGAACCAGGAGGTGATTTCCCGCCTATGCAGGACGCCTGTCAAGAGGGCTCGCGCAGGGGGGCGAGCTGAGAACGCGACAGCCAAAGAAGTGTTGCAGAGTGATGAAGTGCTGGAGAGTGATGACGACCAGTGATGCGTCTGGCAGTAGGGGGGTTTGGTTGTAGGAGTTGATTGTGTGCGGTATCGAACGGGGAGGGTACGCATTGCTTATGTTGGTGTAGTGGTTGTAATACTGTGTGCAGTATTATTTTGAGTTGATGGAGCAGTTTTGGATAATGTGGATATGAGCACCCTAACAGTGGACTTACATGTTGTATTTTGACGGAAACACCAGTTACAGCATACTTATGTCGCGGATTTTGGTTCCAATGACATGGGAGCCGCGTTTGCGACTCGAGATGTAGGTGTGCGCTTCGAGTTTCGTACATGTTCGTGGAAAAGTTAACGCCAAGTCACCTTTGTGTCTACGATGAAGTTGTGCGTTTCTGATGAGCAAAAAGTTGCGATTCGGGTGCGGTGTTTTTATGAAGCTTTCCGCAACTTTCTCGCAAGGCCAACGCAGAAAAACCTTCGGGGGCCAAAAGTCGCAGCTTTCCTTTTTCGCGATGCTGAAATAATGTCCGCGCGGAATATCTCAACGGAAAGGGGGTCGACGGTCCCTGGCGATGTTCCGCGCGGAATGCGGCGATGAGTCCGAAAACTCGTGATGAAACGATGGGGTTGGTTGGAAGATCAACGCGCTTCAAAGACAAGCGTTGAGCGGAGCCTCGAAACCAAATGGCAGAAATTCGTAAAATTCAGTACAGAGCGCGAGTCGATGCACCAAGTTAGGGTGTGTGTATGGCTTTCCCGTCCATCCATCCAAAACTCCCCCCCACCCCCCCACCCGCACCCCGCCCCACCTCGCACTGTGCACAAGGTTACGCGGCGCACCCCACCATCTCTCTCCGCCGCACAACCTTCTTTGGCAGGCCCAGCTCTCCGCCCGCCCTCCGACATCGCCTCCCCCACTCGGCCACTAGCGCGTGAACTCGATTCCCTTCATCTCGACTGGGCCTGTCAAGGACGCGAAGACGACAAGCCTCACATCAGGCCGTGAGCTGAGACTCGGGAGACTCGCGGTCACTTGTCTCCCGTTTGGTCCATGTCAGGGACGCTCCGCCAATCACGTTGCGAACTTGCGTGCTTGTCGAAAACACCACTCTATCCACCGTGGACCCTTGGCGGTATGCGCAGCGAGGATTAAGCCGCATTCCGAGCTTATAAGACCCTGTTATGAGGGCAGGCCGACACCTTTAAACTCTCAAAAGCCACCCCCGGGGTCGTGAACAAGAGAGGTCGCTCAGTGTCGGCTGGAGTCGTTCAACCGGTCGTAATTGCCAAGCTCTTGTTCACGACATCCCGGAATGCGCCTCAGATTCAGTACACGTCTTTGTGTCACCGTTACTGCTGTCTGTCTCGTTCTTGTGGAAACCTTGGGTCTTCCGCGTTGCATCCTTACAATTTTTAGGTGGTGGTCGGTGTTGATAATTTCGCATCTAGGGCTTGCTGACATGGTAATGTACTACACCCTGTTTCGCGCTAGCAGAGCATCTGGTTGCAGAACATGCACTGGTTGTAGAACGTCACCACGTTTGAAATGGTCTTATCACCGACGGTACAAGCACATTCACAAGAAAGCGGTTAGCTAGGATGCTGCATGGTAAAGAACATTAACCAAGCGTTTCAAAGCGGTTGAAAAGGGTATACAGCGATAAAGAAAAAATTTTCCCCCAGTACCACTCCGTCAGCTGGTGCGGCTTTGCCCGCAGGTTTCAGCCATACGGTTTATGGCACCTGACCGCACTGTAGCAGCGAATCGCGCAAGGTGAGAGGGTCGAGAAACAGGGTGTAAACCTTTGACGCTTATCGCAAAGTATTATCTTTGACTCGATTTAATGGTACAGTGTTTTGGCTGAATGATTGCTCGTGGGCAGGCTCCGGGATGCTGTACAGCAGAGTTCTGTCCTTTTCGTGGCTTGAAGCATTCGCATGACGTTGCAGCTTCAGATCAGACTGCTGGACCACAGACGAAGGGGCACTAATCATACACCTTTGAAGCCCTCTCCTTTCTTTCACAATGGAATAATATCTACATTTTAGTGGGTCAGTATCAAAATCATGTACAAATATGCATTGTTCATGCAGGTGGATTCATGTCTAGGTACGAGTGCATTTACGATAAGAAGCATTGTCTCCTCGTTGGCGCTAGAGATTGCAGAGGGACAAACCAGTGGTATTGCTTCTTCTACGCAATTGCTGCACAAACAAAAAATTGCTTGCCACTCAAAGGCATCTTCTGTGCCACGCCACATAATGGATTGGGGGTTCCATCTTTGTCATATGGGGTATAAAAATATTATTTTTACATCAACCCTACATGAAATTACCGATTGTAAATGTAAGGCTCTGACATGGCACAGAATCGCATATCACCGCACTATAATACATTTCTGAGTAAATCACACCCCTTCATAACGCCTCGCAGCCTGAGCTTCGATGACACGAATCTGGACAAAAACGACATCCAGATACCAGTCTCCATTCCCGATTCCCCAATCCCTAGGCTCCTCTTGTCTTGACAGGACTCGTCGTCTGTTGTTGCTTCATGGCGTTCCGTCGCGCGCATTCAGGCCGCGCCAACGCAGAGTACGGCGCGCAATGCAAAGCAACCAGCTCAGCGAAGTTGATGCGGCACCTCACGTTGCTGCTGGAAAATCTTGAAGCTCCATTCGGGAAGCGGTCATTTCATTCGTTCCTGTGTCTGTCTCCACAGAGGATAAGACTTTTACTTAGGCGGCCTGGACCTTATTGAATCTTGCCGGCACGATGGTGCTTACGAGAGCACTTGATTCGCGGCTGGCCTGGACTGGTCACCGGTCCGCTTCTCAGGGTGGGGAAGCGCATCCATTAGGCTGTTTTATTGGAGCACGACGGTTTGTGCGATTTGGGAAAGTCAATCGGGCGTCGCTCACATGCGCGGAGTACTCAGCCGACCCAAGGGTCAGCAAGGATAAGGTGAGGAATCTGTGCTCCCTACAGCTATCGATCCTTGTGTTTGCGGCATTCAATCAGGGAGGACCTCCCTGTCTATCGTTTTCGTCAGTCCCAATTCTCGGCAGGTCTTGATTGTTTTGTTTATACATGTTTTTCCATCATCATGTTTCACCTTGTTAATTCACCAAGTGATAATTCTGTCTTCTCAATTCCTCCCCGCGCAGTCAGAAGATCCACATGCCTTCAGCACGGACGCAGCGTCGTTTTTGAAGGAGCACATGCGGGATGAGCGGACCACGCGGGAGCACCGACAGCCCGTGACGGCCGACCGCCTGCCAGATATGATCGCGCCGTATCATATCCACAGATGCGGCCACCTGGCTGGCCTAGGCTTGGATGTCCCCCTCTCGCCGTGGGAAGCAGACCTGCTGCACGCTTCATCTGGCGCCGCTGGCTCGAGTGCGACACTGACGAGGGAGATTGTCAAAACTGGTGATAAGCACGAAACCGAGATTGTCTCTGAGGGCGGAGGGCTTGGTCTGTCGGCAGCCTACCTGCTTGCCTCCCCGCCCGCGTGGGACGAAGGGGAGTGTGAGCAGTACCTATCCCAAGAGCTGGGTGAAGAGAAGGAGCTTTCGGATAGAGAAGAGGCCATGAAGACTGCGAAAGCCCAGACTGAGTCAGCTCAGGGAGGTTCGGAGCACGGGGAAAGTGGACCTCCGGAGGAAGCTTCCTCAAATGCTATGGATGAGTACAGGCGGCGTGCTGTGGTGATGTGGGCGGTGGGTGAAGCGACGGTGAATGAGGTGGTGGAGGGCTGCTCGGCCGAAGGGGGTGGTGGGAAGGAGGAGGTTAACAGGGAGGGTGATGGAGAAAACATCAGTGAAGGGGGGAATGTTGGGCATGCTTGGCAGCAGAGGTGGTGGCCCCATAAGCACACTAGACCTCTGGAACAAAGGCATGGGTCGCAATTCGACAAGCATTTGTAGGAAAAAGTGCAAATGTACGTGTTAGTATACATCTGGGTTACTTTGACTCTTGTTACGGTATTGCTGTACAATTACTATTGAGTTAGTGCCAAGGTGAGCTGCTTGTAGAAAGCAGGATTGTGTCTTGTATCAAGTATATCAGAGGCAGCAAATGATGTACGATGATCCAAGGTGATGAAACTTTGTGATGGGATGTCAGGCGCATGATAGCCTGAGAAATTCTTAGCATGGTCCTGATAGCGTTGTCCCTTTCAGCCGAAATTCCTCTCGTCTTTGGCTCAACGTTCATTTCATTTCGTACAACGCAAGATATGAGCTGGCAGCTGCTGTCTATGGGTGCTTCTCGAGAACGCTCATCATTCGCAAACCCCACGAAACGTTGTGGATGAGTGAAGTATGCCTCTTCACATGTCTCGTCGTTTCCGAATGCTAGCTAGGAGGACACACTGACGCGAGTTGGCAGCAGACTGTGTACCGTCGCCACGCTGTATGCCTGGCTGATAATTACGGCATGACTTGCGAATCGACTCAAAAGTCACCTCTCTACTACAGTACGAGCTGAAGGCCCGATTCCGAGTCGGGGAGGTCTCCCCGTCCATTTCGAGTGTCTTTATTTTACTCTTGGCAGGAGTAAAGCTCGCTCAGCAGTTTCCGCATTCGAGTTGCGAAGCTATTGTCGGGTGGACCTTATTAGGATGGCCCTTGCGACAATTGCTGATTCCTGATTACTGGCAGAACTACTGATTCCATTTAGTAGTATGACGCATTCTTCTGAAGCTACAGAAGCTGGATCTACTTCCTCTTTGCAGCTGTGGTCCCGAGAGGTGAGTGGAGAGGGAGAGAAGCTAGTAAAATCGTACCGGTTGGCGGGTTTTAGTAATTGTATGCGGTCGTCCATTCGTCCAAACAATGCATGATGGTAGGCTAGGTCAACAGAACCGAGTGTACCCTTAGCTGCTGCTCACGCCAGCGATTCAACGTCAGGGTGGGCCGGCTTCATGTCGACTTGAGCAACAAGTTCTGCCAATGCTGACGCACCCCGTGTGTACTCACGCTGCTGACTCACCCCATGTGTACTCACGCTGCTGACTCACCCCATGTGTACTCACGCTGCTGACTCACCCCATGTGTACTCACGCTGCTGACTCACCCCATGTGTACTCACGCTGCTGACTCACCCCATGTGTACTCACGCTGCTGACGCACCCTATGTGTACTCAGACTTCCATTTCCTCCCGCGCTCTCACGGCAGGAGGACGCGGTGCTGCTGCGCCACGCGCTGTAACCGCTACATCTTCCTCCGAAGGTACTAACCCCGCATGCCACGCACATTTCTTGAAAATGCAACCCCGAGCCGTTTAGTAAAGAGAAATGCGATTCCGTTTGTGGTGCCCTTTTCCTTGGCTGCAGAAGGTTCATTCACCGCTTGCAACAGTACATAAGGAAGGGCCTCCCACGCGGCGGTGCACCCCCAAGGCTCATTTCTATGCAGAGCCAGGCGCTTCAGCAGCAGCGGCAGCAGCAGCAGGGTGTGGGTTCTCATGGATCTTCCACAGCCGCTCTTACTTTCGGTGGGCTGTCGTTTGAAGAGTGCGAGCGCGTGTTCCTCTCACCCAACGACAGCACGCCCTTTGCAGAACCTGAGGCGACTCCCTCCTCTCGTCTTCGCCCTGCTGTTGCTACTTCCGACCATACTGACCCTTTTCTTACCACTGCTGCTGCGTTTAGTGCTACTGCTACTATCCCCGCTGCTGCTGCATGTGATGCTGTTACTATTCCCACTGAGGCTTCTGTGTTTGCTGCTGCTGCCCTCCCTATAGCTGCTGCTGCATTCGATGCTTTGATTCCCCACACCGCTTCTCTGCACTTAATTCTGCTACTCTCACTGCTGCTACTGCTGGGTTCCATGCTGCTCCTCCCCCCACTGCTACTGCTGACGGTGCGTGTAAACCTGCTGCTCTCTCCTCTGCTGTCGTGGCCAGTGCCGCTGTCTCCGATGCCACTGCTGCTTTTTGCAAGCTCATGAGGCAAACGTCGCTCTGCCCTGGCCCTGCTGAGCCAATGAGGGATGAGCCACTTTGCACCAACCCTGTTGTCTCTGATGCCACTGCTGCTTTCTGCAAGCTGATGAGGGAAACATCTCATTGCGACGACCCTGCTGAGGCGACAAGGGAAGTGTTGCCGTGCGCTGACCCTGCAGCACCGAGCCTGCGGAGCAAGCGACCGAGGGAGGGCTGCGCTGGTCGTGCTGCAGCTCCACCAGTGCCAGGCTGCACCATGCAGCGGCCACAGTCGCTGGAGAGTGGCTGTGCACGGCAGGGGAAGAGGAGCCGCGTGCATCCAGCACCGTGGCCTCATGTTGGGTCGGAGAGTGCCCTTCCAGACGACGTGCTGCTGGGGTTCAGCAGCGGGGAGGCAGGCTACGGCTCTGGGGAGCCAGGGTACAGCGCACCACGTGCCTCTAGAGCCAATATCTCGATGCTTCTCCCGACCAGCGCCTCTGCCCTCGTAAGTCACTGCTCGGGGTGGTTCACTCCCAGGGGCAGTGAGCAGATGCATGTGCCGGAGGGTCCCTGACGAGAAGCATCGCAACACACAGACGCCGGCTCTGTTCACCACTCCATGTGACGGGGCTGCCTGCTGCTCTCTTGCTCCCCACGCGCCCGTGTCTCCCCTCTGCCTGCATGCACCTGCCGTCCACCTGCCAGTGCCTCGGCCATCGTGTGCCGTGGCCCCATGTGCTCCTCCCCCCCATGTGCCGGATGGTCCCTGACGAGAAGCACCGCAACATACAGACGCCTGTTCTGCCCACAGCCTCATGTCACAGGGCTGCCTGCTGCTCTCTTCTTCCCCACGCACCCGTGTTTCCGCTTTGCCTGCCTGGACCTGCCACCCACGTTCCAGTGGCCCTGTGTGCCCCCGCCGCCCGCGTGCCCGTGGGGAGAGAGCTGCAGGGACGAGGGCTGGCAGCCTCCCTGTCCGAGGCAGCGCTGCTGGACTGGCCTCTGGAGCAACAAGGGGCCAGGGAGGGAGGGGCTCAACTGCAGTCAGATTCTTGCGAGCTGGTAAATGCCTGTCAGGGCCTACAGCATGTGTTGACTCCCCCTCTCTCGTCACACCAGTCCTCGTCACAGCAACTGCCGCAGCCTCTTGTGCTGCCTTGCGTTCTTGAACGGGCCCCACAGTACCTGCAAGGCAAATGTTTCCAAGTCTGAACTTACAGGACTCGAGCTTGCAACCTCCTTTGCCCGTCCCACCGCACATACTGCAATACAAGACATGTCAGAGCCTCGTCAGGTCCCATCAACCGGACAATGGCTCCTTTGATTGACATGTCCGATTCTTTTGGAGGCATCATGGCTTGTTTGGACGCCCGAGTTGATGTCTACTCTGACTTGCGTGTTCAATCTTTGACAGGTCTGCCTGGGTCCAGACGAACAGCAAGTATGAAGCCTGAAAACGTTTTGGATAGTTTTGAGCGCAGCATCAATGTACCTTGCGTGAACTTGAAGAATTCTCTGATATGTTGATTTATACGGGCTTTACCATCCTCTCAAGTTCTAGTGGATCCTGATACCTGGCGACCATCTGTGATTAATATTGTGGAACGCATGACTACACTTGATGTTTATGTTACGGTATGAGTGCAATAGAGTGAACAAATGAGACTTGTTAGATAACAATCAAATGAGCGCGGTGATGCGCTCGTGAAGGGGTATCCACACGGGCCTAGTGTTGGGAAAATAAACGCATGACTTAGTGCGCTTCTGTAGTATCGAGCCTCACCCGATACTGAAGCACAACAAAAGGAGTACGAAGTCGAAAAGGCGCGTACCACGTCAAACCGCAACTGGAGGTTGCGAGCTGTAACCGCCTGGAGTTTACGTAACAGCAAGCGACGCTTCAGTGAACAGTAACCACCTCGATAGTCGAAGCGTTACGCGTCTCGATAAACATAACCGCTTCTTGTAATCTATCCTTTCTATATATTCCTGTATGCCCTTTGCTTTAATCAATTACTTGTTCTCACATACCAGCACAAGTACATTCACTCAAGACTTCCGCTGTGCTACTCTAGCACCTACTAGCCTATTCTCTGCAAAGATCCTAAGGCTGAAATTCTCAGCCCAACATGGTATGAGAGCAGTCAGAGAACAAAGGCTCTCGTCACTAAGCCTCTTCCAGGCTACCAATCTGCAAACGACCAAGAAGTTCAACCTTCACTCAAGAAAGGCAAGACATGGCAAGTGGCAAAGAAAGAAGATCATATACGGGATCTACTCTACCCCCGGTCTCCGAGTTGCAAACCGAAGGAGGAACAACGCCCGGATTAACGCCGGAAGCGACGGAACGCTCTACTCAAGCACCAGTAGCGCCGCCAACAATCTTCAACCCAAGCTTAATGGAGGAGTTCTTCAACTTCATGTCGCAGCAGCAGTCCTCGCAACCTGCAAACAGCAACAGCGTAAACAACGGAGCGGCACCAATGAGTATTGACAACTCATCGTTCGGACGACATAATCAACAAACACCAAATTCGGTCTCACCTGGTTCCTTCACGTTCATGCCGCCCCGCCATCCAGTGACTCCTCTTCCCGCCATCAAACGAGACACCGAAGAAGTCCTTGTCAGATTATATTTAGCTGATGCATGTATTGTAGGCTGTAGTGGGGTAGCCCATATGGGGTACAACTCAATTAGGGTTGGTACTTGTACTTGTTTCATTTCATAGTGCATTCATTCCTCGCCTCTATCTCAACATGGTATCGAGGAGGTTCCCTAGTGGGAACTGTTCCTAGGGCCCACCCACTATTTCGTCCTGCCCGGAGCGCGCTCTGCCCTAGCTCGAGTTGCGCTGGGCCTTCTTTTTCCTTTGGCGGCCCGATCGCGTCGAGCCGCCCGCCTTTTTTTTTGGCGCGCCACTTCCGCGGCCTCGTCGCGCCGCCCCTAGACGGCCGCGCCGCGTCGCGCGCCGCCCCCCCTCTGGCCCTCGCGACCCCGCCGTCCCCTTTGGCGGCCCCGCGATCGCCTGCGACGGCCCCGCCGTCCCCCCTATCGGCCCCTTCGCTGCACTTAACGGCCCCGCCGTCCCCCCTGCCGGCCCCGCCGCTGCTTCAGACGGCCCCGCCGCTGCACCTGACGGACCCGCCGTCCCCTCTGCCGGCCCCGCCGTCCCCTCTGCCGGCCCCGCCGCTGCTTCAGACGGCCCCGCCGCTGCACCTGACGGCCCCGGCGTCCCCTCTGACGGCCCCGCCGTACCCTCTGCCGGCCCCGCAGCTGCACCCGACGGCCCCGCCGTCCCCTCTGACGGCCCCGCCGTCCCCTCTGCCGGCCCCGCCGCTGCACCTACCGGCCCCGCCGCTAACCCTGCCGGCCCCGCTGCTGCACCTTCCGGCCCCGCTGCTGCACCTGCCGGCCCCGCCGCCTCATCTCCCGGCCCCGCCGCCCCAGCAGCCGAGCCGTCCCAGAGGCCGAGCCGCCCCAGCAGCCGAGCCGCCGTAGCAGCCGAGCCGCCCCAGTAGCCGAGCCGCCCTAGCAGCCAAGCCGCCCCAGCAGCCGAGCCGCCCCAGCAGCCGTGCCGCCCGAGCCGCCCGAGCCGCCGAGCCGCCCGAGCCGCCCAGCAGCCGAGCCGCCGAGCCACCCGAGCCGCCCGAGCCGCCCGGGCCGCCCGAGCCGCCCGAGCCCCCTGCACTGCCCTGTCTGGTGAGCACTGAGCTTTAATCTGCGCTCTGCCCTCACCCTACTGCTGTCATGGCTACCCCCAGTGTCCTCACCTTTGACGCTGAGGGCAGAGCCATCGACTTTGACGTGTGGGTAGACGACCTACTGCTTTTCCTACAGTGCGACAGAGCTGACGGCCTCTCTCTCTTTGATCTCACTTCTGGTGCCTCTCCCGCCCCTGCTGTTACTGAGGATGCCACTATTCGCTCACAGTGGGCCACACGCGATGCTGCTGCACGTCTTGCTGTGCGTCGCCACCTCCCTCCCGCTGAGCGTGCACACTTTGGGTCGTACAAGAGTGCTAAGACCTTGTACGACGCCGTTATTGCACGCTACTCCACCCCTGCCACTGCTGCCCTGAGCCGCCTCATGCTACCATACCTCTTTCCCGACCTTGCTGCTTTTGCCACAGTCGCCGACCTCATTACCCACCTGCGCACTAGTGACGCTCGCTTCCGCGCTGCACTTCTTGCTGATTTCTGCGCCAAGAACCCTCCCCCACAGTACTTCACTCTCTACTACATTGTCACCCGCCTCCCTGACTCCCTTCGCGGAGTCAGGGACGACTTACTCTCAGTCTGCCCCACCACTCTCACTGTTGAGCTCCTCGAGAAGTCCCTCCTAGCAGCCGAGAAGAGCATTCTCGCTGTAGGGGCCTCTTGTGGTGACCCGCGCACCCCCATCTTTGAGGGGTGTTCCCCCTCCCCCCTCCTGCCCTCTGTCGCCTCTGCTGCCACGGCCGACCTCGTTGGTTTTGAGTCGGTCGGTGCGGCGTCTGCCCCCAGCGGGAGACGTCGCTCTGGCAAGGGCAAAGGGGGCAGGGGCGGTGGGGGAGGCGGCGGGGGCGGTGGAGGCGGCGGTGGAGGCAGCGGAGGAGGTGAGGGTGGTAGCGGGAGTGGTGGCGGGAGTGGAGGTGTCAGTGGAGGCAGTGGAGGCGGGGGCGGCAGCGGCGGTGGTGGTGGGGGTGGAGGCGGAGGCGGTGGTGGCGGCGGCGACGGTGGGGGTGGCGGTGGCGGCGGAGGTGGTGGCGGCGGCGGCGGAGGAGGCAGCGGAGGAGGCGGCGGCGGTCGTGGCTCGTCGCGGAGGAGTGGCTCCGGTGGTGGTCAGCGCTAGCAGCAGCAGCGTGGTCAGGAGACCCTCTCCCCGCAGCAGCTCCGTGAGTGGTACGCTGCACGTCAGAGGGGTGGGGGTCCTGGTCCGTGCACCTACGTCCTGCGCACTGGCGACCGTGCGGGTGAGCCGTGTGGTGGTCCACACTCCGCCCAGCGCTGCTTCGGCCGCCTGACTGACGCCTAGCGCCGCCAGTTTCCTGATGCCTCTGAGATCCCTCGCTGGGACCAGCTGTCTAGGGCAGGAGTAGCTATCTTTGATCTTGACTTTGATGCTATTCTTCGTGCCATGTATGCTGTGACTATTAGTGAGGAGGGTGACTGTTACCGGTGTTTCCCGCCCGACCCGGACATTGGTACTGCGGCTCCAGGTGCTGTTGAGGCTACTGCTCCAGGTGCTGTTGAGACTGCTGCTCTAGGTGCTGTTGAGGGTTTAGGGTTTAGGGTTTAGGGTTTAGGGTTTAGGGTCTAGGGTTTAGGGTTTAGGATCCGTGAGTGGTACGAGCGCCGTTGCACACTTCGTAGTGGCGCGCCTTGTCTCACGGACCCTGCTGCTGCTGGTTCTGCGGACCCGGGCGTTGGAGCTGCTGCTGGTGCTGCGGACCCGGGCGTTGGAGCTGCTGCTGGTGCTGAGGACCCAGGCGTTGGAGCTGCTGCTGGTGCTGCGGACCCGGGCGTTGGCGCTGCTGCTGGTGCTGCGGACCCGGGCGTTGGAGCTGCGGCTGGTGCTGCGGACCCGGGCGTTGGAGCTGCTGCTGGTGCTGAGGACCCGGGCGAAGTATATCACCTCGGTGAGGCAAGGAAGCCAAACAAGGCAACGCGGAAAGCCTTGCAGCGGTGGTAGCCGAGGTGGGAGGCCGGCCAAGGACGCGGACAAGCAGAAGTCGGCCAAGGATGGCGGTTGAGGAGGAGGCCGGCGTCGGGAGCGCTGGCTGTGTTGCGACTCTGACCACCTCTCCTCTGAATGCCTAAACTGCACCGACTCTAACAACGATGACACCAAGAGAGGCCGAGGTAGGTCGGCTGGACGTCGCCCTCACTACGAGAGCAAGCCGCGCAAGGAGAGGCAGTGGACCAATTCGACATCGGCAAAGAATGCTGACTCCTTCTCTGGCGGCAAGGGGCGTTGCGACGGGGAGACGTCGTGCTCCTTGGTCGGTGTCGTGGAGCCAACTATCTCACTGGCGTTGGAGGTCGCCGAGGACTTCTAGGCGGTAAACCCGGGAGTAGTCATGCTCG